GAGAATCGAGGTAATTTCTATCTACCGTGCCTTAACTTACCAGCAACAGCAATCTATCTACGCCCTACGGTGACAAGGGAGACTGTGAAAGAAGCGTAAGATGGATTCTAAACAATTCTTTTGTGATATACTGAAGGGCAAAGTGCAGAGAAGAGCGTACAAGTCCTGTTTTGTGCCAGGCTGTTGCAGTAGCACTTATGAAACTCCGAAAACGATCTTCGTTCATGTCCCAAACAACATTACCCTGAGGAGATGATCGTCTGCAATAGCAGGAAGAGCTGATGCAAGTACTTTGAAATCCACTATCAAGTCGGTGCTATTGTTGTAATGATCACTGTGAGGTGAGATATTTTGTGCAAGGGCTGAGTGTAATGCCCAGGAAATGACCTCCATTCGCCCCCTGACCGGTCAGGGTTATAAAATTTGAGTGGATGGCGGTCCGTTTGGGGTTCAGATGTCAATTGTATTTTGTTCCTGTCAAACAATACATGTTATGCTGGCAGCGAATGTGTGTAACGTCGTTTTTCGAAACAGAAGTTAGAACTGTAACGGCAGAGTGCTTGCTGGTCTCATCGTAAGTATTGTAAGTGTTGTAAGCAAAAGCATTGTCAATATTGTAAGTATTGTGAGCATTGATGTATGGTAGACATCACCTCACATGATCTCGGCTCAGATAACCCTCTCCGGTGTCCCTGTCAGTAAATGGCACCTGGATCATTACAGATAAGATAATTTGTCATAATTCTTAAAGAATTGGGTGGTTTTGACTCGTTTACTCGAGGTACAGGTCGCATTTCAATACTTTTCCATAGGCTTGCAATGTAAAGGTCACGACTCTGACCTAACCTCAGGTCACAGATCAAAAATTCTGAGATATACAAACGACACATGCTGCAGGTACTGTTTTGAAGACTTGATGAGAGGAAATAGTAATTCGTATTCGTTTCGGGCTACACTGAGGTAAAAAATTGTTACAATTTTTACAATTTTTTACCTCAGTGTAGCCCGAAACGAATACGAATTACTATCATTTACCTGAGGAAGATTAAAAATGACACTTCGTTAATACCTGAGAGGAAATAACTTCGTGAAAAACTCAAGCTCTGACGTGTTTGCAAACTTTTCTGAGGTGGGTTCAACAAACCCGCTCTGGTTACCTGACCTGACCTGACCCGGCATTTTTTTTTTTTTTTTTGCTGAGATGTGCGCAATGAGCATTTAGGAAAAGTCACCAAATATGAGCTGAATGTCTCGCGGCGTTTGGCAATTGTACAAGAAAATCCTGAAAGGTCTCCCCGTCCGAAATAGGGTTAATGTGTATATGAAGAGTTGCAGATGCCAAACATACCCAGATCTAAGACTGCAGTTCCCAGCGCCGCTGCAACGTTTTCAAAACAAACATACATAGGACATACAAACATGTTTATTTGCATCTGCTTTGGATAATAGCAAGTAGCAACTCATGGCGCCATCACCCGCGATTACTGTTAGGATTTGAGATATATCTTTATTTAGGCCATTAGTTTGGCTGTAATGTTTATTAATATTAGTTGGGCGGAGTTTGGTAGTTTTTTATTTAACTTGTGGTATGTTGTGCTGATTGCGGGTTGTTCAAACCTTTCAAATGTAAGGACCTTATTGAACTCAACCCTACCCCTACACTACCCTACATACCTACGACTGGACGCTTTCCAAGCCCACAAGCATCACGACGCCGAGATGGAATGTAGCCGAGAAATCACCCTCGCCATCTGCTCTAGAGCTAATCGTGTGGGGCGGCGTGTGGGGCGCCGCTTATCCTATGGGGGTGCACTTCTAGTGGATGGGGGACGGGGGTGCACCTGCACCCCTTTCATATGGAAAGTTACTTCCCTGATTACAGCTCCCCGTATTGCACCTAATCAGGGAACGGCCAGCAAACGAAGGAACTATTTCTGGATGACAGGCGAATAACCGCTCACGCAAGGAGCGGAGCTCCGCCCCGTCCAAAGTGGCCAACAAAGCAGAGACAGAAGCAGCATCACATCTTCCATCAAAGAACTGGTTTCTGGCTTGGAAGATGAGCTCCATCTTTGCATCCGAGTCGGTGCTGTCAGGAATCAGCTGGTCTAATGGAGTGAGAGTAGTGAGACGACTAGCTATTGTATCAGAGCTGCCTGGTCTTCGTAGCATTTGCACCGATTCTTCTCGATCGGACTCTGAATTCTGTCCCTCCTGCGTATTACTTGAGGCATTGCTATGTAGCTAAGTCTTTGGCAGAGTTTCATTATCCATGCTTTGCAAACAGTGCCATAACAACACAGTTAATTAATCACCAAGCTTCTTTGCAAGTTCCAATACAGTTAAATCGCACGCGATTTGAGTGCAAAAATCAAGAAAAGTGCCAACTTGTTCCCGTAAAATATTTTGAATATTGACCTAAAAAAATGAGTAATTTCCAGATAAAATAACAGCGAAATCAGTTTTCGCTTGCCAATAAAACTCACAGATATTGAAGCTCCATTATTAAAGGAACATTTTAGTATATGCCATTCTTGATAAAACTTCTTAGCCACGCAATACCAGCGCAAAATAAAGAGACACTGAAAACACGACCAATCACTCCGATTTACCATAGGAAAATACATAGAAAATGTATGTCTCAACTGCGCCAAATATACAGACAGTTATATACCTACATGTGACGTCATAATTAGCCGGACCAATCAGAAGCAAGTTGTTTTCAGCCACAAATAATTAATTTCTGAACTAACTAGGCATTTTTATAACAAAGTGATTTTAAATTAAATCATTAAAAATTCTGAGCTTTTTTATTTTACCAAAACATACAGAGCATGCAGATAGGTCCCAACCCTATTGTTGTGTCCCGCACCGCCGATTGCATTCTCTATTTACACCCGGAGGGGGGGGGGCAGGGGACACGTGCCCCTATCGGATCAGGGGGCCTCTCGGGCCCGAGGGGCCCTGCGACGCCAATTGGCGGCTGAGGGTCCACGCTGGCATTTTCGACTCAGAAGGGCCCCACAAGGCTCGAAAGAACACCTTATGTACTCCGAATAGCCACACTTCTCTCCATAAGAGTCACACACCGACTTTTTATTGTCCCTCGTCGGCATTTGAGGGCCCGTTGCCGGCCTCTCAGGGCCTATTGGCGACCTCTGAGGGCTACTTGCCGGCCTCTGAGGGCCCTTAGCGGCCTATCAGGGACCAGCAGCTCTAAGGGTTCCACACACGCCTGCGATGACCCCCTAAACCAATGGTTGAAGGCCCCACAACGGCGCCTACGAGGGCCCTCACCGGCGGCTGTGAAAGCCCCAAAGCGGTGCCCAGCTGAGGGTCCCACACTGCGGGCACACTGCCATCTCTGAGTTCAACCGGCACCCCTGAATGAAGTCCCAAAGGCCCAAATCAGTGCTTTTTGGCCATATATTTATCGGCGGCTCTGAGGGCTGAACGCCGGAGTCTCTGACGGCCCCAGACGGGACCTTCGCATCGGACGGCCAGTGGCCACTCACCGGTGACTTTTGAGGGCCCCACACCGACGACTCTAAGGGCCCCCACCGGCGTCTGAGAGTACCTTGCTGGTCTCGAAGGACTCCGCAGGGCTCCTGAAAACACCGCAGACCTCTTGAGGGCCCCTTGTCGGTCTCTGAGAGCCCCTGTCGGCTTATAAAGGATTCGAGCCAGCAGCTCTAAGGGTCCCAACTCCCACACCCGAGTGTGATGACCCCACACTGCAGTGTCTCTGAGGGCCCACAATGGCAACTGTGAGGACCCTCACCGGCGCCTCTGAGGGCCACACACTAGCACCTCCGAGGGCCTACAGCGGCACCTCGGGGGCCCCGCACCAATGCCTCTGAGGGCCTCACACCGGTACCTACCTGTGAGCGCCCACACCAGTGCCCCCAAGCTCCAAAGGCTTCAAAACCGGCGGCCCTGAGAGTGAGGGCACTACACCGGTGATTTTGGGGGTTTACCGAAGGCACAACACAGTCCCTTAGTCTCGCTGAGTTGCTATCCCAATCCCGTACCGGCTTCTATCCCAATTCCGGCTCAACTAATTAGCAGCCCCCCCCCCCCCATGGATCAGCGGCGCCGCGCCGGTGTCGGTGCCGGGGGCCAGCGCCATCGGGGCGGCAGTCGGCCACGCGCACTCAGTGGTTAGCGCTTAGCACCGGCGGCTAGCGCACGCCCGGCGTGTTATCGGCCGAGAGCCGCTCCAAAACGGCTGCAGTAACTGGTCGATATAGCCAGTAAGCAGATGAGGAGATGCAGGTGAACTGATGACCGGCAAACTTTTGTGCTTTACGAGGGCGAAGGGTCGAAGTCGGCTGCTAAGCCTTGAGCGGGTTTTATCAGATACCGGTTCACTATGACCTTTGTCCGGGTCCTGGTACCCTGACGCACTCTTGCAGAGCCGAATTACAGCAAAACTCCATCCACGACTGTATCTATACGGCCTACGCTTTTCTGAAAACGTCTGCGCTTGGCCTTCTACGGGCCCGGCCGGCCGGCCGGACGGCCCCGATTGGCGATCCACCAGTGACGTCACTGGTAGTGTTAAGCTGATTGGCGAATAATACATGGGGAGAACCGGGACGACATCCCCCTGCTACCCCCCACCCCCTTGTGCCGTCGAAGGACGCAAAATGGCCTGTGCCAGCGAATAAACCTAAATAAACCATGTTCCATCCATTCAATGGTACGTACGGCGTGCGTCAAGGCTACGTAAGCCCAACGTAAGCCTTTGTGTCCTTGGGCGAATGTGTTTCAGTAGCAGTGGATTAGTGTGTTTCAACTTGATCTAAACAAAATGAGCGAAGTTAGTCCGGTATTTTTAGCGTTAGGGCTTAATGCCTTGTTTTTAAGTTCTACTAGATATTTTAAGTCAAGCTGCTTACTTTTGATGATCCTTTTACAAATATTTTCGAGTGCAATTATTTTATCTGCTATTTAACTTCTTTTTTATTCTGCCTTCTGCTAGCATGTGCGTCGTAATTGAAACAAAGCTACCGTTAATCAACTACCTTGTCTATTTCATCCTACGTTGGCGGGATGCGTCATTTTAAGCCAAGAATTCCAACTGACTTTGTGAAACTAGGCTTTTATTGATGTTCTCGCCAAGGATCTTCCCCAACCTCGCCAAAATATTAGAAGATTAAGCCTAACCAGATGTGGTCTTTGTTGTTGATTTTATGATCGTTTTCTATGCATTAGAGTTTGCATGATAAGATCAGTTTTTCCTTTTTGGATGGGATGGTGTTCCTCTTACCGTAAAATTTTGAGTACCGTGCAGCTATTGGATTTGGGATTTGTAAGCCCATCTGTTAACATTTAAACCATTGTGTTCGGGAACTCAAAACTCAAACTGTCAAGTGGATGCCGGCTATTTGCATTAGATTTTGCAAAATATTTGTTGAAACACACAGGCCCACATCACAATCAACGCACCAGTGGCATTGAAGTGTTGCACTGTGCGGTTGTTATGTAAAGGTGATGTATGCACCTTTTGAATCGATATTGCCAAGGTAAGTGACGTAAGTCACTGTGAATGCTAGGCTTGTAGTCATTAGCATACTTGTAACGTGTTCGTTTCTGGTGTCGTGTGAATAGTGCACCTTTTCTGAGGAAACCTTGTGAATAAATATATTGTTTGGGATTTTTTTTTTGTAAGATTTAAGAACAATGCCAAATCAGTAGGCGGAACTATGGTCAAGCGTACCCATTTTCGGGAACGCATTTTCGTTCCCATGTTTGGGAACGATAAACCCAAATATGGGAACGCCATGTAGGAATTATTTAAAACAAGAAAAAGAACCGTTAAATGACGTCCAAAAAATATAAAACGATCGTGAACCGCCTGATATTTGTCTCAATATTGTTGGGAAAGAGTTTGATATTGTAAGGCCCATCGTAGTTTCAAATCGTTCCCCTATTTCTAAAGCAGTCCATCATCCGGGCCGCGAACCCAAATTTGGGAACGCTCTCGTACACTGGCGCTGCAAGCGTTCCTTATTATGGGAACGGCGTACCCAAAATTGGGAACGATTTCACCGACGCCTTTCAGGGGCTCTTTTCATTAACAAGCATCATGTCCAACGCCGCAAATTATTGTTAAGCAACAATCATCAGATGACGTTTCCGGCAAGACCGTCGCATGTTTCGCCCGGTCTTCTGCGCTTTTATTCCCGTCGATCTCGCAGCGGGCACGCCCCCCTCTGCAGGATTACGTAATTCACAACGCTCAGCGATGTTCAACAAGGTCTTCCATACCTATATCCACCGTCCGCGCCGAGGGTGGAGACATGTCAAGCACCTGTCTGTTTATCACCGATAGTTGACGAGCACAAGGAAGTATCCAAAAATGGGAACGCTGAATATGTTACACCCTCAAAACACCTAGTCCCATGGAAAATCTAGTTTTTTCCTTTCTTAATGAGTGTAATTGGCAAAAGGCCTGGTAGGATGGGCACGAGGAATGATCGAAATCAGCATAAAAATTATAAATAAGCCACACAGAGCGACCTATATAAGAGAAATTTCCCCAAAACGATCATGCTTAGAAACACGGAAGACAAAAACCACGCTCATGACGCTCCTTATAAAACAATGCTAAACAGCTAGCATCCAAATAAAATATGTCTTTCCGGGTTGATAAAATACAGCTGAATAATTTTAAACCACTGAAACTGAGTTTACAACAGTAGTTCGGTAAAATCACTGACGTTCCACGCGGTCGTGCGCCCCGAGACCAAAAGTCAACAATATTACCTCGGGACTGTCCGCGTGTTCGCTTGCATATGTCAGCATCTGGTGTCGCTAGTATGAAACTTCATAACCAGGCGAAAATTATTATACTTGACCTCAAAATGTAAAAAACGCTTCATTTTCCTTTAAATTGCATGTTAAATGTAGTATAACCCATGTTTTCACCATTCCGTCATTTCAAAAAAATCATTAAAAATATCATTCGACGGTCAATTTCCTTGTTCAACGGTCAGATTAAAGATAATTTTATAGAGACTCAGTAGATACTTAAATTAGCGTGCACTTTTTTGAGACGTGATGCACTAATGAGTTTTAGTGGGCGAACGGCCGAAAAATTACCTTCCGTTCCCGTAAATGGGAACGCCCGTTCCCATATTTGGGAACTCCGTTCCCAAAAATGGGAACGTTCCTATATTTGGGTACTCATGACCATAGTTCCACCTACTGAAATATAATTGCTATGTCTAATACTAATTCATAAGTGCTTTTTCAACTCAAAAGTGCACACCATCAGCCAGCCTGTATGTAATTTCTTGTGATGCCACCTGGTGTTTATTGCTTTGGCTGGGCCCAGGCCCCAGGGTATGGCAACTTCCTCCTTGTGACTGTCAAGCACTTGGCACATAAGGTATCTATCAAATAGGGTTTGTTACCTACCCTGATCAACTTGAGCAGCAAGCTATCTTAGTTCAGACTGAGATTTTAAAGTGTGGCAGCATAGTTGATGAGTCACAAGTCACAACAGCTAGGGTGTATAAACCATGTGCCAGCCCACACCAACCTAACTGGAAATCTGCACCAGCCTACTCAAACAAGATATATGATTTTCAGCTTTAAGTTAACTTGCACCCTGCTGCCGGGGTCAGAATAGCCTGAACCCCTCCTGTGTTTTATCAATATTATCTTAGCAGTTTAAGAAAGCTATCTCAGACTTCTAATACCTACTTACCTACCTTATCATACCTGCATAAACTTGGTTTGATTTCTAAAAAGTTGAAAGATATCCATCAGTCTGAAAAAGCCTGTTCATAACAATACCATGCCACAGGTCTAACCAGAGGTCTAAACTGGAACATATGTCAGAAAACTACTCCATGAGTAGTTTTTGAGTATTTTCCATTATTTTAATTAAATTGCTCCAGATGTGTAGGAGTTTATGATACTATATTGTTGTCTGGACTCAAAATTAATAAGATTTTCACTGGAAGTTTTAGACCTGATACCCATAAGAATAGTACTATTTGATTCATGATGAAAAGGGGAATCAGCTAGACTCCTTTTTTACTAACAATGAATGACAAAATTTGAACTCAATGGACCTGACCTTGACCAGACCTCATCTTGAACTTCATCCAGATATGGTCCATGTTACCAATTTATTATGTCCATTAGCCATTGAGTTCTATGATTTTTTTTTCATGAAACATGTCACACTCATTCTAGTTATTTTTTTTGTGACCTGCCCTGACCTTGACCTTTGCATGACATTCTATGCAATGTGTCTTGTCTTGGGAGCCTAATAAAGCATTTTGAGTGATGAATCTGAATTCATTCTTTGCCAGCTGGGCTCCAAAACCAAAAATGTAGGAACTTGTAATTTTTACCCCTGACCTGATCTGACCTGGAGGTGACCTGTGACCAGAGCTTATGCTGCTCCATGCAATTCACATCACACTTCACCTTGATAAGCCTGCACAGCATTCAGACTGAGCACTGCCACCGCCCAGGCCAACAAGACCTTGTCAAAATTGTCATGTTTTGCAGTCTGGTCTTATGCATTTGATGCTGCTGTCATATTTTGCTTGTGGTTGTGTTGCTGTTAATGGTAAATTTGCTAGCATACATAGTTTGCTGGTTGGCCAGGCCAGTCAGGAAGACAGGCTTCATCTGGACACTAGAATTTGTCAGCTTCTGATAGTAGTTGACATATAGATGCATACAGTTATCCAGTATTCAAAACATTGTTCCAGATGTGTAACCCCAATGCCAGTGGAGCAAACAGCAGATTTTTTTTCTCAAATTTTAATGCAACTGGTCAATTGAATGAGCTATGATGGACACTGAACCAAAACATTTTAAATCACAAACTGAGACCCACAAACTGGTGAATGAAAATGCCCTGCCAATGTGCACACTTCACTTCACCAGTGTGATTTTGAACCAAAGCTGTATGTTGCTTTGGTAAAGGAATCTTGGTATGTTAAAGGAAATAGTTCACTTTTTAACATGGGTTTTGAACTGGAATAGCAGTTCCGTAGCTTAGGCTGAGACGAGCATAAATCAGGAGCTTTTACAGCCCAACGATCACCCTAGGCAAAGATATTCTATTTCTCGTCCCGAAAAAGGTGTCTTGCGTTGAGGATGTGTGCCTTGCATATATTTCCATCCAGTATGAAAAGAGCATGGGTCCCGAAAATTCTTCAGAAACTAGAGAAATTCTCGTACTGATCAATTAGGACATTCAGGGGAACATTATCAGATCGAGCAGATCGCCCAAATGCCGGTGGCTGCGATAATTTCTCTGTTTCTGAAGAATTTTCGAGACCCATGCTCTTTTCATACTGGATCGCGTGTGCCTTACAGAAACTGAAAAGTTCTTCCTATATCAAAATATAGAAAAAAATCTTTTGTTATAAAAAGGTTTTATTTTCTTTGCTGATTATTTTGAACATAAAAAATCATAAATCGTTGCAAAAAAAAAATAATTTCGTGAAAGTGAACTATTTCCTTTAATGCTTGATAGTAAAATGGTCTTCATGGCTCTGGGGTGCTCGTTCTCAGGGCTGCAGAGTCGAAGTCGGTCGGGGTCTGAAGTTTTGCCCGGAGTCGGAGTTGGAGTTGCAGTCGCTAAAATCTTACCGACTTCGACTCCGGAGTCAGAGCTAACACTGCATTGCTCAAAGTCATGCCGAACACCTGGTTGCTTGACGATATTTCGCTCGTAGACCTTTCAAAATCTGATTTTGTTGAAGCTAAGAACATACTCCTGTTTCGGACGAGCGTTTTCATATAAGAAAAAAAAAAACTGAAGGTGGCTGCTGCGTCAAAACCTGTTTTTATTGATGCATGCTCTTTAAAGGAAGACTGCCACCTTCAAAAAGTTTTCTCAGATCGGCCTATGATTTATTCCCTGGACAAAACAAAATTTTAGAATTCACCTGACAAAGTATCATCACGTGAATCGCGAAAAAATTGTCGATTTTCATACAATTATCAATCGGTTAATGTCTAGCGACAATGTTTACACATCACTAGACTTCAAGGTCATAAGATTATTACATTTTATTTGAAAAAGTAAGGTATTTTATAATTTACTAATATATGATTTCATGAGAAATTGGCCATGTTTAATTTATTTTGCATTTAAGTTCGTAAAACATTTTAAAAAATCATGGCTCATTTGGAATGGGTCTGGCCCATGTTAAACCCCATTTCCCACACTTTTTTGGAAAAAATGAACTACTGAATATATAAGTTTAACTTTTATTTTGACACTCCAATATTCTTCTCTGATCTCGAAACAATCAAAGTTTTGGCATAGGTATATTTACCAAAAGATAAGAAAATTCATGTTTCAAAGTTATCGATAAACAGTAGAGATGTCGGTTTTCTTGGACTAAAAAAATGGCATCAAACTGAACTTTGGTCTCCGATTTCTCGCAAACGGGTTCGAATTTCGGAAAACCGACTTCAGTCTGGGACATAGGTGGCTCAGCTCTAGTGAAAACCGTTTTGTGGAAAAAAGGTGGCAGTCTACCTT